AAGATTCTCCCAAACCCCCACGGGTGTATTTGGAATGGGTGAGACACTGGATAAGACAACGAAGAGGCTTTAACACTCATGAATATTACCAAGAATTTCGTTTGCTAATTTGGACAGAATAGCGGGGTTTGCAGAGGCCATGGTCGCTATTGACACCGCTATTCAAAATCTGCTAGATGATATTAATAGACAGGTGGGCCCCCAGGATTTCGTGCAGCTGTGCTTAGATGTCCCGGGTCTTATTCAGCCCCTCTTTTCTCTGAGGAAGCCTTGGGAAGATTTAAACACTGCAGATTTTTTGAATAACATTGTTTCGGTGTTGCAGAGTAACACAGAGCTCGTGGAGGTCGGGACTCTAAGACTGGTTGTCACGATTATCAGAAACAGGGCAGGCGGAGGGTCTGTGAGGGCCTTAAAGACTATCACATACAGTAAAATCATAGAGAAAAAAAAAAGAAAGCATTTACTCAACCTACATAATCAGGGAAATAACTTGTGCTTGCCGGCAGCATCCTGGGCCTGTTATCGAGTGAAAAACTCAGACATGCCCAATTACTAGAAGGGGCCAGGCATCTCCACCAGGAGCTGGGGCTTCTGGACCAAAAAATGATGAGTTTTACAGATGTGAGCTCTTTTGAAGAGCGCTTAGGCATGACTATCACTGTGATGTGTCCTGAAAAGGGGAATTGGTGCTTTTTTACAACGGGGGAAGTATGATACCCCAAGACCGTTTTTGTATTGTTGCATGACAAGCATTATTACGGTATTCTAAATGTTAAAGCCTTTATAGGGGCCCCATATCTGTGCAACTACTGTTACGCCACATCCAGCCACAAACACTAGCACGCCTGTAAAAGCCATTGTTGTACTTCTAACAGCGCTGAGTGCTGTGAAGTGGTTGTCGAAAAAAAGTGATGTCCCTGCTGTAAGCTATTTTGCTGGTCTGTGGCCTGTTTAGAAAGACACAGGGTGCCTGCGGCTGCCGGTAGAGTTGATTGTAAAACCAGAAGCCTTTGCGCTAAGTGAGGCTTCTACGTTGCTAAAAATCACAAGTGTAAAAGCAATAAGTGCCCTCAGTGTTACCAAAAGACAGATGATGTAGAGGGTCACGAGTGTTACATGCGTAACATCTCATCTCTGGAGGAGGGGGAGGCCTATGTGTTTTACGATTTTGAATGTATGCAAGAAACGGGGGTGCACCTGCCAAATTATGTTTATGCCTTACACTTTAATAAAAAAGACAGTTGGGAGTTTAAGGACGTAGAACGTGTCAGTGATTTTGTATGAACCTTGGTAGACAAGTGTTTTAAGGACTACACTTTTATTGCTCATAATGCTAAAGGTTACAATTGTTACTTTATTCTGAGACAGTTGTTTAAGGAAAAAATCCCCATCAGCCCCGTAACACAAGGCAGAAAACTTATGTGCATCACAGTGACGAACTTAAACATCAGGTTTATAGATTCTTTTAATTTTCTACCCATGAAACTTAGCAAGTTACCCAAAGCAATGGAGTTTCAGGGAGTCGAGCTATTTTCCACATTTTTTTAACGGCTGAAAATCAGAACTACATGGGCCCTATGCCTGGAGTAGAAGCCTTTGGCGTAGAGTACTTGAAGCCTGAAGAAAAAAAGGAATTTCTGAACTGGTACTGGCATCACTGCCAAAACTAATTCGATCTGCAAAAAGAACTGCACTATTATTGACAAAAAGATGTTGAGATTTTACAAGAGGCCTGTGACCGGTTCAGAAAAGAAGTCATGAGGATGACAAAAAAACAAATTGTTAAAAACCCCGGACTAGATAACGAGGAGGTGGTCACTAAGCGCATAGAGCCCTTTCAGTACCTTATGTTAGTGTCAGTCTGCATGGCCATGTACCGGTTTAACTTTTTACAGCTGCGAACCATAGCCCTGATGCTGTTAGACAATTACCACAAGCAACAGAAGAGATATTCTATGCCGGCCATTCAGTCAGTGGTTGCTGTATGTAGCTCACACAGAAAACATTTACATTCAACACGCTTTGCAGGGCGAGGAGCTTAAAGTGGGACCCTACTTTTTAGATGCTTATGCTGAGATAGTGGATAAACCTACCGCTTTTGATTCAATGGTTGTTTTTTTCCACGGTTGCCCAGTCTGCTATTGTGAAAATGATTTCAACCCTTTGCTCGATGCGACCTACAGGCAGTTGTACAACCGAATGACAATTAAGACCGAATTTCTGAAAAAACAGGGCTTTGAGGTGAAGACCTTATGAGAACACGAATGGAAGGCCATGCTAGCTAATGATAACCGGGTGGGAGTCTTTTTACGAGGAAAAAAAGTTACCGTAGCCTTTGATTCCCAGAGACACCCTTTATGGGGGTAGAACCAATACTGTTTGCCTGTATTACAAACCGCGGCCCAGGGAGCAGATTCATTACTACAATTTCACTAGCCTTTACCCTTTTGTTAACAAAACTGAGCATTATCCCGTGGGGCACCCTGGTATTGCGTATAAGGATTTTGGGGACATCAGCCAGTACTTTGGCATTGCTAAAGTTAAAGTGTACCCACCGAGAGGGCTCTATTTCCCTGTTTTACCATACAGTACTGGTGGTAAACTCACTTCTTCCTGTGCACCCTTTGTGCAGAAACAAAACATGAATAAGGAATAAGAAATCCTCCGGAAAAGGGCTTATTTTCCGGAGAATCGCGTCTAGACTGGTGCTTTTCTCCGGCTTATCCCCAAGCCGGAAAAAAGCAGCAGCCATGTAAATGCAAATGCCGCAGGGGATATTTAAATCCCCGTGGATTTGCAATTCCTACTCGTCTCATTAGCATCCCTTTTCCGGAAAGGGGTGCCAATGTAGACGTAGCCTTGAAGTGGAGCTCCAGTAGGGACACTTTGAACACTTCTCTCCATTCTCTGTGCTCAAACATTAATTTAAGTTAACAGGAGTCTTACTATTAGCACCAGCTCTCAGTGAAATCAGCTTCTAAAACCATTAATAGAGGTCAGAAGGATTCATGCTGTGAGTGATTTACAGAATACAAGAGAAAGTGAAAACTTTATCAGCTCTCTTCCTCCCTGCTGCTAGTCTCTGAATGCAGATAAGGCTGTGAGAGCCAACTTCTGCTCTCAGGGCCCAAAGAAGTTAGTGAGTTACATGTACAGATTCCAGGGAAGAATTTAGGCCCTTGCATGTATTTGTATTGTTAAGGCTGCTTTAGCATTTTTGTATTAACACTAAAATCAGAAGAGCATTCCCCCACTTGCCTTAGCTAAATTAGGTAACCATGCTGACTGTTGGCAACCCAATCACAGTGACTATTCCTGTTACTTGCTGGGATTTTCTTTGACTGTTCACCATGAATGCATGGGAGTAACAGAGCAGAATATCCTCCTACAAGTTTAGTGCTGCTTTTTAGGAGGCTGAAAGTTCAATTTAATCAGGAAAGAGTTCATTGTGCTGACCTAGAGGCAGATCTTCCTGACATAACTGGCCTGTTATAAACTAATAAGGCTGGAGGACAGATTCAATTATGAACCAGCAAAGAAAAGACAGCAAAAGGGACATAATGAATCATGCACTGATAGAGCTCCACTGAGCAGTCTGCACAACAGATAAATCACTGAGTTTAACAAGTATTGTCATAGGAATAACCTGGACTCCCATTCCACTAGGAAATGTGCCCTGCTGCTACAAAGGATTCATTGTGTGGGAGGGGAGGAAGCTCTAACAGCTGTTCAAATGGAAAAAAGGAACCTTGTTGAGATGGGACTAGTTGGATCTGTTCACAGATGTCATAACAGAAAGAGGTTTGTTCCTAAATTTAAAGGTAATATTAGCTGTAATGTGACCAGCATGTAGTGGTGTCTAATCGATTAGTTCTCATCACAAATCTGTAATCAAATTTAACACTTCAATATTTAAGCTGCTTTGGAGGCCCACTGACACTACTGAGTTGCATGGATTTTGGCGTCAAGGCAAAGCTGCTGCATACTTACATTTGGGCTAGAATCTTTGTACTGGAGCCAATTCTCAGGATAATTTTTCCAACTAAGTGGTTTTTTTGGTGTTGACTTATTTCATGACCAAAGTAACAATGCCTCAATACATTCTTGAAACTAGTTGGTCTCAGTCTACCACTGCAGAGAAAGAGGAACTAGTATGTATGGTGGCAGTTCAGTATATTTGACAGGGTACCTAGGGGACTTCCTCTACACCAGGGCTACTCAACACGTGGCCTGTGGCACAGTTTGGGTTTATGTGGGGCTCAACACATGGCCCACGGGTGGGAGCCAAAACAAAAAAAAGTAGTCAATATAATGGTCTTTTGTTGATATGCATTTTAATAGTTAAATTCCTGGACTGTCATTGTTCATTAAAAGTTGTCATATGGGTGGAAATCAGGTAAATATTGCATTTTATTAATATCAGCAGGACTGACTTAAATGGGACCTGTTTATTGTGTAGTCTTGCCTTAATCTTTGTATTCATGCTCATTAGTGTGAAAGAAGCTTCCAAAGTTGAGTAGCCCTGCTCTACATCAAAATGGCACACTATAGCAGGAACCAGAGCTTGTGTATAGAAGCTGCACCACAAGAACCAAAGGCCTCAGCTGAAACAAAGTTACTACTGCACAAAACCAAAAGGCAGCAGGAACTAAAACATGGAGCTATAAAATGGTTTAACACCTCAGACCTGTCAATTTATGGTCCTACTATATACCAAGTGCTTTTTGATCAGTAGCTATCAGAATGCTATTGGCATTTTCAGTGGAAAGAAGAAAACCGCATGGGGATCTATATAATTTGGAAGCTGCTATTCCATGCTTATTCTTCTGAAGCATGTAATTGTAAGAGTAAGTCCACCTACGATAAATTTGGACAGGCTACTGGACTGAGATTCAGGAAACAGCTACACATGACAATTTCACCCTACT